GTCAAAGGAACATTTTAACTTTGTGTAAAATAAGGGAACCCTAGGTGGGGTAGTCAAGCTTGATGTGAACTTACCCGTGGGTGATTGCACACAGGGGTACGAGCTTTTTTTTCCATGGGGCTAATTTTTTTTTTTTTTTTTTTCCTCGAAAAATGGTCTAACACAGGAGCGTCAGGTGATGGACTGGGGGAAGGGTTCCTTATCCAAGTGATGTTCACACATCAACCTCCTTTTTCTACCACCCATTTGTGCATTACGCTATAATATGTTAACAAGACCCGGGAGACCCAGACCATTTTGAAAAGTGCAACCTTTGTTCAAGTTGTGTTGCGACAGGCATCCTTTGCGGCATGGTGAGGGGCTGACTCCCTTATGAGTGCTCATTTTTCACTGCTGTGATCGGGCGTCACTTACTATCTGCGCAGTTGTGTGACTGGTCAGTGGGTTGCTTTGTTCACCCTATAATCTTCGGCGTGGGGTAACATAAAAAGAAAATACTTCAAAATGGCGAATAACGTACATATATATATATATATGTCCCGGGTATTTCTCCTTTTTTGTTTTTTTCCTTTTCCGCGATGGCCACGAATTGTTATTATATTTATTGTGCGTCGTGTTACGGATGGGTGGTGTACGGGCAACACGCATCCCTTTTTTGTTTTAAAAAGCACGCAAAGGGGAAGGGAAAAAAACCAATGGCAAAAATATTCACAATTTAAGCGGCTGAACCTTTACATTTATACAAAACAAACTCCCATTTTTCGCCCAGTTCGAGTTTACTGCTGTTCATATTTGGCGGGACAAAAATGAGGAGAGGTGCTCTCACCTACAGAGCTAAACGTGGTACTTTGTCAGCAGTGCAAGGTATCTCTGCGTGACGGCAATAATTATTTTGCGGCGCTTTTTTCCCCTCCCACGTACCAAAATAGCCACATAATAAATTGAACCATATAGAGCATGACTGAAGACAGTTGGGGGGAAAAACGGACTCCTCCACCTGTTCGGTTAAATTTATATGCAGTTGGGGTTGGGTCAGCAAAGTTTGCTTTTTTTTTTTTCGTTTCAACTGCGCACCACCGCGGTGTTTTGCAAAGTATCGAATGTGACCAAATTGATCGAAAAAATATACGTAACCCCCATTTGAAGTGTTCACAACATGACCAACATAATTTGAACTGAGTAATATGACAACGGTATTTTTTAACCTTCACTCCAAAGGGGCATGTTAAACATACCAAACCTCCGGCACCATTTATACGAATGATGCGAAAATAATATGCGCAGTTTCTTTTATATTATTACGGGTATAATTTTACAAAAGGGTGAAAAAATAAAAACGTTTGCCGGTTTTTATAAAAATATTTATAACAGCACAACATATATATAATATAATAAAATTAAGCAGAAAAACAAAAAAAAAAAAAATAGCCAAAAAGGACTTAAACAGAAAATACATTACAACATTTTAACGCATTATAAACGTACGCAAAAACTCCTCGTTAAAAATTATATCTTCGCAAACTGCCCAGAAAGCGATTTAATTAATTATTTATTTACTTAATTATTTAATTAATTGTTTACTTAATTGTTTACTTAATTGTTTACTTAATTAATTATTCCGTTTTAACCCATCCTCTTAACAAACGGCCGCTTTTTATTTTTTCTTACCTCTTTTTTACCAAAATGGAAAAGTCCAAGTTAGCCAAAGTTGAAAAAGTTTTAGGAAGGACTGGAAGCAGAGGAGGAGTCATACAAGTCAGGGCCCAATTTATGGGCGATACAGAATTGTCAGGCAGATTTTTAATCAGGAATGTTAAGGGCCCAGTGAGAGAAGGAGATATTTTAGCCTTACTCGAAACGGAAAGAGAAGCAAGAAGATTGCGCTAAGTTCGACGCTGGGGAAGAGAGAGGCAAAAGGGTGTTTTTATGTGTGTGGTCAGAAAAGAAATCCCGACCATGGAAGGCAGAAGCACGAATATCAGTATGATCTAGGTGAGGAGCGAACAGAATATGTTTATATTTATGGCTTGAACTGAAGCATGCCCACCATCCACGTCGCTACCATCGCTGCGTTGTGAAGAAGAGGGAAAGAGCATGTACCCCGTCCCAATTGTAGAAGCGATACGAGATGAACCCACACTTACATATACATATATATGCACAACATGAGCTTAAGTCCAATCATTAATTTATGTACCTTTGTGTGCATCCTTCTCTCTCTTTTTTTTTCTTATCATATGTTTACGTGAATGAATCATATCCTTTTTGTTCACCTTGAGCATTTTAAACAGCGGCATGGGGGTGTAGACCCGCACGCGCACGGATGTAAATCTGCACATATATCTGCACGTACATGTATATATGCCTGCGCCATTTTTTTTTTTTTTTTT